CCTTCTGGTTCTGTGCTCCTTTGCCCTGTCTGGACAGCCCAGACAGGCTGAGAAGGTCTGTTCCGCAGAGAGCAGAGTTCCCAAACTAGACAGTGGTGACTTTTGCATCCATTCTCAGAGGACAAACACGGAAATCAAGAGCACCCATGTTTTAGTGTAGAAAAGGGGATTATTTCTCCGCATTTTCATTCTATACAGTCTTGCATTTCATCCTTGGCCACAGCAGAAGGATCACTTCAACATCGTTGTCTCACTGTTCCTCAAAGAACATTTCACGATTTAACCCATTTCCCAGGTCAAAGCATGAGACTCTGATAGTTAAATATCCCACATCCTCACAGGAAACAAAACCCAAACCTAAATCATCAAACCCAGCCTCTGACCCCGAACTACAAGCTCCTTGCTCTCTGTTACATAGTGGTTCCACCTCCTCCTCCCTGTGCGCCTTCACAACAATAAAAGTAGCACAGGATGCCCCTTTGAGCTTGCCAGCTGTGTCAGGCTGCAGCAAGTGACACTCCAAGTCTGAATTTTTAAGTACTTATTTTGCAGTATATATAAACCACCCTCGATGTACACGGAATGCCCCTATCCTACACCCAGCTGAAGGAACTGCATTTATTCTGACCTCACAGCAAAGATAAAAACTAAGCTTGGAACTTCCCAGTGCTTAGAGAAGCTGCTATCATGGAGTTCAGCTGCTTTACTGACCCGGGAAACCATTTAACTATATCGATATCAATGGGAACAAAAAAGCATAACCCTCTTACAGAAAAGTGGGTTGGGGGACGACTGAGGAAGAGAACACATTGAGCTGTGCCCACACTGCTTCTACTCACCAAAAAAAAAAAATGTACAGAATTGTGTCACATGGTCAAAGACAACGTTGTACAGTACGGGCTGAAAAGGCATTCATGCTGTGTGCTGAGAGGAGATCTCTGAGTAGACGAAATGGGATCGGGTACAGCTAGCAGCCTGGGACGCAGTGACAAGCGTAGATGGCTTAGATGGCACACTAGAATCTGGCAGATTCTCAGTAAATATCTTTCTCTTTTGCTCCTTTCTGTATCCCTCCAATTTTCTCATAAACATAGAAAGTTTTGTCTGCTAGGGATCAAAAACGACATTTGGGAAATGAAGCAGGAGAAATGTTATGAGAATGTCATGACACAATTAAGAGAAAATAATTGCAACTGAATTGAAAAGAAAGACATCGGAGAGAATATGTTCACCTTGGTCGCCAGTGGGAAGGGGATGTCATAAGTCGATGAATTTAAAGACACAGTGCAACTTGAACAGAAATTAGATGTCTGAAACACTCAGATGGTTGTCTTAACATGCATGCAAACACACACATACATACACACAGAGATGTTTTTTAACTACTGTGTATGGGATAGCTCAATGTCCGCTCATAGGATATATTAACGAATGCAAAGAACAAGCAAAAAAAAAAGATGTGTTGGGAAATTAAGAATCAGGGTGGAAAAAAAAGAATAGGATTGATTGCTTTTTACCACTGAGTAGTACTCTATTGGGTAAATGTACCACATTTTCTTTATCCATTCTTCAGTTGAGAGAGTTGTTTCCAGGTTATAGTTATTACAAATAATGCTGCTATGAACAGGGTCAAGCAAGTGTCCTTGTGATATGATTGAGCATCCTTTGGGTATATGATGAAGAGTGGTACTGGGTCTTGTAGACTGAGTCCCAATTTTCTGAAAAACCACCATACTAATTTCCAAAGTGGCTGTATAAGTTTATGCTCCCATCAATAAAGAAAATGTGGTACTTGATATACCAGGCTTTGTTGATTCCCCATGGGAGGCCCTTACCCTCTCTGAGAAGTGGATGGGGAGTAGGGGGAAGAAGAGGGAACAGAGGGAGGAACTGTGGTTGATACGTAAAATGAATTTAAAAAAAATAAAACAAAAAGAATCAGGGAGAGGGTGTAAACAAAGACTGGGACTTTCAGAGCTGGTGGGTGACATTTGCTGTTCATTCCTTGTCCTTTAGTCCTGCTTATGTTTTAGAATAAATTTCTTATTAAAAGTGTGACCATTTTTTTCTTACGTTGTTAATAGCTTTACTAAATTGGGTTTGTTGAGCCAAAGCTTTCATTTTAGTACACCAGATTGTTCCAATTTGTAAACAGCATCCAAAGAGATAATGTCTAACACTGACCACAAGTTTCTGTTGTCTTATGAAAACACATTGGTTTGAGAGTCTGATTTCCCTGAACTCAAGTTACATCATCTGTTCACCTTGAACATTTGATAAATGGATGAATGAATAGAAACTTCTCTGCTTCCTATTCTTTTACTTATTTTGATACTTTGGATAGTCCACAGTTTGGCTCTCAGCATCATACTTTCCTTGGATAACCAAGATATTGTGTGCATCATGAAACCACAGAACATTCGGAGAACTAAAGACCCTCTTCTAACGAGGAGTGACGCTCCCATCAGCAGTCATGTGTGCAGCACCATGGCTGCACACGGCTGTGTTTTCAGTGTTGGTCTCACTACCAGACAGAAGCTTTGGTGTGGAGTGTCCTCGGGACTAAGCAGAGACACACTCCCCAAACAGTGCTCCCTGGAGAATTATTAGGATACAAACAGTGAGAAACACGCACATGGCAGCCCTTTTACTTCTTAAGTCACATGTTTTTCATTTATTTCCTTTGGGGGAGGTTGAGGGTGCTCAAGCCGTGGCATGCACGCAGAGGTCAGAGGACAACTTGGGGGATCAGTTATTCCCTTCTCCCAGGTGGACCCCAAGGATTGGTAGCAGCTGCCCTTACCCACTGAGCCATCTTATCAGCCTGTAAGTCCATTTTAAAACGTAAAAGTAATTTTTAAAAAATAAAGTTTTTGTTTGTTTGTTTGCTTAGAACTCAGTAGGCTGAGGAATGTGAAATGGCTGTGACCTCACGTGAGTTATCTGTGCTAATATTCAGAGCTCTCCTGGAGTTATCTTTATCTCAACTTTGCTAATTAAGAAAGTGGGCTAGAGGGACTGGAGAGATGGCTCAGTGGTTAAGAGCATTGCCTGCTCTTCCAAAGGTCCTGAGTTCAATTCCCAGCAACCACATGGTGGCTCACAACCATCTGTAATGAGGTCTGGTGCCCTCTTCTGGCCTGCAAGCATACATGTAGACAGACTATTGTATACNATAATAAATAAATAAATAAATATTTAAAAAAAAAAAAGAAAGTGGGCTAGAGGTGCCTAAGTTTTCATCACTAAAAAGAGGCAGAAGCAAAAGGAAAAAAAGAACAGTAGATATATGTATTTACTCCTCCAGTGACAAGATCTTAACAATTCAATAAAACAGTTTTACTAGGTCAATTTAGTTGGAGGACAAAATAAAGTGTACAACAAATTCTCTCACATGAAAGGGAGCGAGATATTCAGTAAGTTTTGCATGAAGGGCAGCAAAAGCTGAAAGCAAATGCAATAAGTAGTGAGCGAGAACAAAGGCTCTGCAGGTGGCCAAAGGCAGCAGGGGTGCTGATAATGCCCGGGATGGAGGGATGAGAAAATCCAACCTGTGTCTGTGTAGGCACAACTCATCATAATCAAGTATGTCACCTCAGCCTGCAGAGGAAGAATCTGCATCACAAATGTCACATGAACAATCAGCTGCAATGCACCTTGCAATAGCAAGATGGGGTCCCTGGTTCTCATGGATCTCAGCCTACAGTTTTCTCACAGAGTTCTGTCTTGCCCCTCACCTGGGCATGTGATACAGGAGAGAAATGGCACAGTGATGTCTTCGTCATGATAATAAAGGAAAGGAAAGGAGAAGGCAAACAATTGTCCTCCTTTGCTCGTCTACTTCCAGATTATCAGAGTCATGAAGGAAGCCCTCCATGGATAAGTTCTGGGTGTGATCAGGACAGAATAACAAACCTAGAGTAGCACTGTGGCCTCTGTCTAAACAACAGTCCTTACAAGACCACACAAGCCCTGGGCGGAGGGCTGGGCTAAGACTGTGATAAAAGTAGTGGACCAGTTGATCCTAGTCCTCAGACAACCCAATGCTATGAACTTTCTCTCTCTCTCTCTCTCTCTCTCTCTCTCTCGCTCTCGCTCTCGCTCTCGCTCTCGCTCTCGCTCTCACTCTCGCTCTCTGTGTGTGTGTGTGTGTGTGTCACTCTCTCTCTCTCTCTCTCTCTCTCTCTCTCTCTCACACACACACACACACACACACACATGCACACACTGGCAAGTATAGCTAAAAAGATGTTCTTGGTAAAGCAAAAACAAAACTAAAAAGCGTGAGTCTAATCAACTGAGGTTTTGAGATTCCTTATTGTTTTAGGTAAAGAACACAAGAGAGGAACACGCTAAATGCCAGCTGGTGGACACCTAAAATCAGGTCAGCAAGTGACCCGTCTTCTACAAGGAAATGAAAAGGAGAAGAACGTACAAGAATGAAGAGCTGCTAGTGAGAATGTCAGTGTGTCCTTGAGAATGTCAGTGTGTCCTTGAGCATGTCGGTGTGTCCTTGAGCATGCAAAGAATAATACTAAGCCACACGCACTTTGCTCAGGATCTCATTCAGAAGCTAGCCTCAAACAGACACTTAGAAGCTAATCGGGGTAATTTGGGTGCCAAGCAGATACTTATTGATTGAGAAATGGCAGTTGATTTGGGCTATAATGACATTAAAAGCAGTCTTAATTTTTAAAATACATTCTGAGTTTTACAGGCATATGACAGGCGGCTTGAATTTTGTTTCCACACCTGATTTTAAAGAGCACAGTCTCAAAGCAAGCGACCGTTCATTTGCTGGTATGTTGAGCTAGGCAGTTACTCATACTGTTTTCATAGCCTTGTTTTAAAGTCCCCATAATGAATGAGGGAGATGAAGGAGGAGAACGAAGAGGGAACAAAAAGAGAGAAGACAACTTGCAGGTGCTGGTTTTCTCCTTCCTCCATGTGGGTCCGAACTCAGATCAACAAGCTTGGCAGGTCTAGCCATCTCAGCTGCCCTCCCCATGTTTTATAAGCACGTTTATGTACTATGACTGACAATGTGGATCAGCGGAAGCCCCCGTCCCTCTAGGGAAAGGCAAATAAAAGTACCTGCTCTTCTCCTTCAGCTGCAGGGGGAGATGATGCAGGGCTTCAGTGGGGGAGATGATGCAGGGCTTCTTCCACAGACGCAAGTACGCCAGCATCCTCTGTAGGATTCTCTGTGCTGAATTGCTTTCTTATTTTGAAAACATAGAAAAAAATTGTTCTATTACTGCCAACATCCTTTGGAAAACTAGAATCTCGCATCTCCTGGAGTAGCTAACATGGTGTGGCTGACCATTTAAAAAGAAATCACACTTCCAGTTCCACAGGAAATTGATTGAATCTATTGTTTTACAGATCTGAAACTTAGCTGCCAGATTCAAAATTTCTTGAGAGTCAGACATGGTATGAAAGAGAAAATGCCATAGACAAGCGGAAACGTCTACGTGTTTGTTGGAGGAAAGAGCCACTTGTGTGTACCCTGGTGAGTTGTTTCTGGAGAGTGCCCGGTATCCCGTTATCCTCGGGCTTCAAGGTTATTGGGAACGGCTCCCTTCATTATAGGCAGCAGCTTTTATAATGAAGAGTTGAAACCATAGAACTCTAATCACGGGTCAAAAGAGCAGGTCTATTCTCTGACCTTAGAGGGGCCTGGACTGTCAATAGCAGATAACTATCTAAACCTTATATAAAGGATTACTATCTAATGAAAGGCTTTCTGCTGAAGAACAAGGGCATGCCACTGTCCAGTCCCTTAAAAGCATTCATCTAAATGAATCTGTCAGTCACCATGCGATGCTGCCCCCAAGATTTTAGAACAACATAAAACCTGTCTAACATGCAGACAGGTGTGGGGGCCTCTTCGGCCATTGCTGTGTCAGCTCTTGGGACCACTTCCCCTGGAATAGATCCTACCCATCTTTACACTCGGTTCTCTGTGCCCTATATGAATCTTTTGACATAGATCACAAGAACCAAGGAGCTAAGGAAAAGCCAGAGAGATGTCCCAATGACAGCTAGTGTAAGATACGACTGGGATGTGAATTTTAATTGCCAGTTGAACACTATCTAGAAATAGCCTCCTTGGGAAGGGAGTTCCAGTGAGGGCTTGTTCCCATCAGTCTGGCCCGAGGACTTGCTTGCAGGGATTATCCTCAGCTGATCTGGAGAGATCCAGGCCGCTGTGAATGACACCATCCCCAGGGTTTGTATGAGATGCAGAAAGGGTTTGTATGCTGCATTCTCTCCTGCTTTTGACCGTGGATGCAATGAACTGCTCCACATTCCTGCCTTGACTTCCCCTTCCTTCCAAGGGTGGGCCGTAACCGGGGCTCATAAACAAAGCTTTTCTCCCCTAAATTGCCTTCTGCATGAATATTTCACCATTACAACAGAAATAAATCTAGGACAAGACTATTGAAATATTTGGAAAAGCTGTACCACATTCTGTATCATTTACACACACACGCACGCGAGCACACACACAATTAAATCACACTTAGGATTAAAATTTAAGGCCACCAGTATGGTTCAAGGGCATTGCAAAGTCACAAAAATATCTTTAGATATTTTTACCTATACCTAATATTTAGCTTTTCAAAAGCATTAAGCTATGAAAAGGAATTACCTATAAAAATGAATTTTCTTGAAAGACTGATCACTTTGAGATTGATATTTTCTGGGAAACCTTCGAGCTGGCAATTTGCCTGTGCATGATGAAATAATATCTCATGAAAATCCAACAAGAAAGTTAGATGTAGGTAGCAGGTGTTCCACACTGACAATCAGAATGAGTGTCCTGGCCATGGCTCAATTGATACATTGTCATAAACCATAGCATCTAAGTAATATTTCTGAGCCTCAGTTCACTGGATACAAAATGACAGATTTGTCCTTTCCCTTTTCAAAATTACTTCCATGACTTTATAAATCAAAAACTTTGTAAAAAGAAAGAATTCGGGGTTTGTCTGTTTTAAGTTAAACAAAAGAATAGCCACCCCCACTCCCACCCCCCCCAAAAAGAAAATAGCATTAGATTTTAAAGATTTGTTGAAGAAGAAAACTGCCACACTGGGACTCAGTAGCTGTGTTCAGGTTTTCCTAGAAGAATTAAACTTTTGAAAGAAGAATGAATTCAAAATCAAGGTTGACCTATGTCCAAAAGCATTCAGCTGTCAATGAAGCATTCAGCTGTCATTGAAGCATCTGGACCCACCTGCCTGACTCCCCAAGATGCAGGAAACATCACACATAAGGAGGAAAGACTGTAATCACTGAGAATTGTAGGCAGATTTTTCTTTGGTCCACCAGCTCACAAAAAATGACATGGAGACTTATTATTAATTATGAAAGCTGGGCCTATAGCTTAGGTTTGTCCCTAACAAGTTCTTATAACTTAAATTAACCCATATTTTTCAACCTACATTCTTTTTCATGACTCCGTTACCTTTGCTCTGTACAGCCCATCCTGCTTCCTGCGCATCTGACTAGCAACTCCTCCTTTCTTCCTCTCTAAGCTCTTCCTGTCCCCATAAATCCTGCCTAACCTCTTCCTGCCTAGATATGGCCACTCAGTTCTTTATTAAATCCATCACAGCACTGTATCTTCACACAGTGTAAAGGGATATTCTGAAACAGAGGATGAAGAGGAGTAATTGAAACATATATATGAACTCAGAGAAGCTGCAGTTGCCTGTCTGCGCAAGATCAAGGCCAAGTAATATATAAAGGCAGACCTATCAGAATTACACCTGACTTCTTAATGGAAGCAATGAAAACTAGAAGGTCCTGGTTCAAGCATAATGCAGACATTGGGAGACCACGGATGCCAGCCCAGACTACTATACCCAGCAAAACTTTCAATCACCATAGATGAACAAAACAAGATATTCCATGACAGAACCAGATTTGACCAATACCTAGCCATAAGTCCAGCCTTATACAAAGTAGTAGAAGGAAAACTTTAACCCAAGGAAGTTAGCTACATCAACAAAAACACAGACAATAGATGATCTCACAGCAGCAAATCCCAAAGTAAGGAAAATCACACACAATAACTCACCAACAATGAACCTAAAATAACAGGAATGAGCAATCACTGGTCGTTAATTTCCCTTAATATAAATGGACTCAACTCACCTATAAAAAGACACAGGCTAACAGATTGCATACAAAGACAGAATTCATCCTTCTGCTGCATACAAGAAACACACCTCAATCTCAAAGAGAGACATTGCCTTATTGGACCCTGGAGTCCAATCACCGAGGAGGAGTTGCCCCATGAAACCACCCTCACACCACAGTTGATGTAAAAGCATGAGGATTTTTATTAATTCTGTTGTGACAGAATCTTTCAGCATTCGAGAAGCCAGAAAGACCCCCGAATAGCTGATACAGGCTACTTTTAAAGCAAAAAGCCACAGAAACAAGGGGGGAGGGTCTGGGACTTGTTCTTTAACTATTATGACTGGCTTATTCAAAGGGCTATTACCAATAATTGGCTGGAGAGTGGTTGCCAGATCAGGTGAGGTAAGAGGAAACATGTGAGGGTCACTTTGCCCCTTTCCCAGGGACTGAGTCAAAACATCAGGAACTGAGTCAACATCTTAAGGGTTATCTTGCCCCAATTTCAACAACTGAATTCTATCTGGAGAACATTCACAAGGACTCAGGGAGATGGAAAGTTCCCAACATTTCAGTGCATGTGTGGCTAATTGTTAGATTAATGCTGAGAGGCCTCAGCTTAAAGTTCTACAGTCTCAGAGTAAAGGGTTGAGAAAAAATGTTCCAATCAAATGGACCTAAGAAACAGTTGGTATAGCTATCCTAATATCTAACAAAATAGACTTCAAACTAAAATCAATCAAAAGAGACAAAGAAGGACATTTCATATTAGTCACAAAAAAAAATCCATCAAGAGTGAATCTCAATACTGAACATCTATGCCCCAAATACAAGGGTAAACTCATATGTAAAAGAAACACTAATAAAGCTTAAATCACACATTAAACCCCACACAGTAATAGTGGGAAACTTCAACAGCCCACTCTCACCACTGGGCAGGTCAGACAGAAAATCAACAGGGAAATAAGGGAAATAACAGATGTTGTGACTCAAATGGACTTAAGAGACATTTATAGGGCATTACATTCAAAGATAAAAGGATATACTTTCTTCTCAGCACCTCATGGAACCTTCTTAAAAACTGACCACATACTAGGTAGCAAAGCAAACTTCAACAGATACAAAAGAAAAATGAAATAACCCCATGTATCGTATCAGATCACAATGGCTTAAAATTAGATTTCAACAGCAACAGTAATTCCAGAAAGCCCACAAACACATGGAAATTAAACAATACTCACCTGAATCATCAATGCATCATGTAAGAAATAAAGGAAGAAGTTAAAGATTTCCTAAAATTCAATGAAACCACAAAACATACCCAAATTTATGAGACACAATGAAAACATGTTAAGAGGAGAGTTCATAGCACTAAATGCCTTCATAAATAAGCTGGAGAAGTCCCAAACTAGTGAGCTAACAGAACATTTGAAAGCTCAAGAACAAAAAGAAGTGAACTCATTCATTGGGACTAGATGACAGAAAATAATCAAATTGAAAGCTGAAATCAACAAAATAAAATACAAAGAATCAGAGAGGAAGAGTTGATTCTTTGAGAAAATCAACAAAATAAACAAACTTTGATCCAAGCTAGCCAAAAAGCAGATACAAAATATGAAAGTTAACAAAATCAGAAATGAAAAGAGGGACATAACAACAGACACGAAAAAAATCCAGAAAATCATTAGGTCATCTTTCAAAACCTGTACTTCACAAAAGTTGAAAATTTAAAAGAAATGGACAATTTTCTGGATATCTATTTACCAAAATTAAATCAAGACCAGATAAGCAAATTAAATAGACCTATAACTGCCAAAGAATTAGAAACAGTTATCAAAAGTCTCCCAACCAAAAAAGCTCAGGGTCAGATGGTTTCAGTTCAGAATTCTACAAATTTTTCAAAGAACTAATACCAATACTCCTCAAATTGTTCCACACAATAGAAACAGAAGGAACATTGTCAAACTCTTTTTATAACGCAACAATTTCCCTGATACCCAAACTACACAAAGGCATTACTAAGAAAGAATTACAGACCAATGCACTCATGAACATTGATGTAAAAATACTCAATAAAATACTGGCAAACCGAATCCAAGAACACATCAGAAAAATTATCCACCATGATCAAGTTAGCTTTATCCTAGAGATGAAGGGATGGTTCAACATATTAAAATCTGTCAATGTAATCCACCATATAAACAAATTTAAAACTAAAAAAAAAACACACATCATCATCTCATTAGATGCTGAAAAAGCCTTTGACAAAATGCAACATCTCTTCAAGATAAAGGTCTTGGAGAGAGCATGAATACAAGGAACGTACCTAAACATAATAAAGGCAATACACAGCAAGCCAACAGCCATCATCAAACCAAAAGAAAAGAAACTCACAGCAATACCACTAAAATCAGGAAAAAGACAAAGTTGTCCACTTTCTCCATATCTATTCAATATAGTTCTTGAGGTTCTAGAGAGAGCAATAAGACAACAAAAGGAGATCAAGGGGATACAAATCAGAAAAGACTCATTATTTGCTGATGATATGATACTTTACATAAGCGACCCCAAAAATTCTACCAACAAACTCCTACAATTCATAAACACCTTTAGTAATGTAGCAGGATACAAGATTAACTCAAAAAATCAGTAGCCCTCCTTTATATAGATGATACATGGACTGAGATAGAAATCAGGCAAACATCACCCTTCACAATAGCCACAAATAACATCAAATATCTTGGAGTAACTCTAACCAAACAAATGGAAGACCTGCATGAGAAGAACTTTACGTTTTTGAAGAAAGAAATTAAAGAAGACACCAGAAAATGGAAAGATTTCCCATGCTCTTGGGCAAGTAGAATTAACATAGCAAAAATATCAATCTTACCAAAAAGCAATCTACAGATTCAATGCAATGCTCATCAAAACCCAAGCAAAATTCTTCACAGAACCTCAAAAGAACAATACTCAACTTCATATGGAAAAGCAAAAAACCCAGGTTAGCCAAAAAAAAATTCTGTACAATAAAGGAACTTCTGGAAGCATCACAATCCCTTACTTCAAACTCTACTACAGAGCTACAATACTGAAAACAGCCTGGTATTGGCATAAAGACAACAGGAGGACCAATGGAACCAAATTAAAGACCCAGATATCAATCCACACACCTACGAATACCTGTTTATGACAAAGAAGCAATAATATAAAATGGGAAAAAAAACATCTTCAACAAATGGTGCTGGCATAACTGGATATCACCATGTAGAAGAATGAAAATAGATCCATATCTATCCCCATGCACAAAACTCAAGTCCAAATGGATCAAAGATCTCAACATAAAGCCAACCACACTGAACCTCAGAGAACAGAAAGTGAGAAGTATACAATTGAACACACTGGCACAGGAAATCACTTCCTAAATATAACCCCAGTAGCACAGACCCACATTTCTCAACATATAAATACAGCCTACACAGTCAGAGCCCCACCCCTCACTTTCATGTTAGCATTCCTGTTGGTGTTGCCGTGTTCAGGACTGGATTGGGCAGCCATGTTGATGAGATGTCATGGCTGTGGCTTCTCTGACATTACTAGGAGATGCATCCTCACAGATAACACCTTGTTCCTCTGGTTCTTACACTCTTCCCACCTCCTCTTTCACATAATCGCTGCTCCTTAGGTGCAGAGGTGTGCTGTGGCTGGGTCAGTTGCGACTGGATGCCATGCTCCATCACATGTGCTCTGAATTTTGGGCAGCTGCAGTGTTTTGTAATGGCCTCCATCTTATCCTGAGAAGTTTTTGAATGAAGGGTGATATTCGTAATTAAGAAAATATTTCCATATGTTTTTCTTTGGGTTCACCTTCTTATTTAGCTTCTCTAGGATCGTGAATTATAGGCTCAATGTCCTTTATTTATGGCTAGAAACCAAATATGAGTGAGTACATCCCATGTTCCTCTTTTTGGGTCTGGCTTACCTCACTCAGGATAGTGTTTTCTATTTCAATCCATTTGTATGCAAACCTCAAGAAGTCATTGTTTTTTACTGCTGAACCCAAAGAAAAACATATAGGCATCCTCCTGAATATTAACCTTCATCAGGGGATGAAAGGAGACAGAGACAGAGACCCACATTGGAGCACCAGACTGAAATCTCAAGGTCCAAATCNGATGTTCTATCGGGAACTCACCAAGGCCAGCTGGCCTGGGTCTGAAAAAGCATGGGATAAAACCGGACTTGCTGAACATAGTGGACAATGAGGACTACTGAGAACTCAAGAACAATGGCAATGGGTTTTTGATCCTACTGCACGTACTGGCTTTGTGGGAGCCTAGGCAGTTTAGATGCTCACCTTACTAGACCTGGCTAGAGGTGGGTGGTCCTTGGACTTCCCACAGGTCAGGGAACCCTGATTGCTCTATGGACTGATGAGGGAGGGGGACTTGATCGGGGGGAGGGGGAGGGAAATGGGAGGCAGTGGCGGGGAGGAGGCAGAAATCTTTAATAAATAAATAAATTTAAAAAAAAAGAAAGAAAATATTTCCACTCTCTAAAAGAGTGGTTTTCCCCGTTAGAATTTCTAAGGAACTCAGTGCTCTCAAAGTTTCCATTCTTACCTACATTGTGACTGCTTCTCTAGCAAATACTTTTGTGATACAGAATAAGTCAAGTAATTTTTATTCTTTATTCATCCCTCCTGCACATGAATAAAGATGCCATGGCAGATGAAGTGCAAAAGAGAATGCTAACCCATCCCAGCCTACATCATGGAAATGATAATGATTCTTCACTTCGGTTAAAAATGGTAAATTAGGTTGCTAGCAGGCCATGGAGCATAAAGTGAACAGTCAGGCAGCCCAGGATACACAGTCACCCACCTGTGGTGTGATGTCTACTAATGCTGCCTCAGAGTTTCCATTTTTAAGGAGAGTAAAAAGTTAAGTACTCACTAAGATCAAGTTTGCCAGTGTTATAGTTTTTCTTCTTCTTCCAATCTTTAGCTCATTTCAATGCATGCAGACTACATTTGCCAGGTTTTTTCTCAATAATAAATTCTGTCTTCACAGGCTTCCATGATGTATAAGTAAAATATGTGATTTAAAAATTGGGCCTGGCAAGCAGAAACAGGTTTAGGAACAAATGGGATCTCTCTTGGTTCATTGTGGAATCAGAGTAGCAGGAGCCTGAGAGAGAAAAAACATAAAATTCAGACAAGTAAGCTTCCTTTTGAAAAGAAAGGTAACTTTAATGAGGATTGTGAAGCAAGCACTGGCTTTATTCTTTTTCCTGGAATAATCAGGCAAATTGCTCTCCTTCATAACGTGCACCATAACTTGTGATGTACAAAATTATGAACCAGCCTTGTTTAGCTAAATCTAAAGATTCTGATTTGGATCATTAGACCATATTCAGCTCTCAGTATGCTCTGATGCCACATATTTAAGGAAAGAAGGCCCCTCAGATATGTGCGCTTTAAGCTGGACCTCTTAACTCCGACTCTTGTATACAGTTGCGAGTTCTCAGAAATGTAAGCATTTCACAAACACATCATCAGGTCTAGCAGACAAAAGAGGGTATTCTTCTGAGTTTGTGCTCACTACCCCTTACAGAGAGAATAAACTTGCAAATACTTCCTGTAGACCTGATCATTCATAGGCATAGATGCAGATATAGAGAATATAGATATAGATGATGTGGATATAGATATGGATAATCTCCACAAGTTCATACTCTTAAAAACCAATGAGTTAATAAACAAATTATAGAGAATAAACAAATCTATGGTAAAAATGAATGAGTCAGACTTTCTGTCCTCAGAGGGAAGAAAACAATTCCCACAAAAACTCTGAAGCCTCATGTCCAGTCCAGTGTCTTATCTAAATTAGACAAGGGTAAGGCACAAAAGTTTGTCTCACCCGAGGCAAATTGCTCTTATCTGTGAACCAGTGAGAGCAAGCACACTTACAATATGCAATGATGGGATATAAACTGGACACTATCAAGGGAAGGGGAAATATGAATAAGAAGAAAGGGATTGGCAGGTCACAAGTCTAAACCAAATGAGTTGAATACTATCAAATATTTATTTTATTTTTTTTAGTTTTCATACATATTGTACATTTAGCATATTCCCACCTATAACCCTCTACCTCCATTTCCCACCCCAACCCCTTCTGATGATAGTCATTGCTGTCTTTATAAACAACTTTTATTCTATTTTCACATTAAATCAAGGTAGAGAATAATTTGTGAATGCATGTGATGACTTCCAGATGATGCTGCGATGAGGCTTCATTTCCTAAGACAGAGAGAATCCTGCCTCCATGTCTTCTGGACAAAGTCAAAACCACAGATCACATGGATTGGAGTCAGTTGCCTGTCATGTTTCCTGATTAGTACTGCATAGCATGACTCTACAGTTGTAGGGTCTCAGGAGCATCCTGCCCCCATGACTTTACTAGGCATCACCCTTACAGGGTCCCTGTTGGAAGAGATGCTCTGTGACAGCTAGATGTAGGAGTCCATGCCACTATAGCTCTTTCTTTCAGAGCCTTAGCCTTGTTAACACCATGTGGACACTGCTCCGATTTATGGTTCACATCCTAAGGAACAAGGATCCAAGTTGCACTTGGATTCGCTAGTCAGTGACACATTGTTTTGTAAAGCTCTTCTATTAACTTGTTTTTGCTGTTGTTGTTGTTGTTGTTTGCTATATTCTTGCGTTCCCCACCCTCACAATTGATTCTGCTTACAGGCCCTAACTAACAAATGCCCTCCCTGCCTTCTGTCAGCCAGGAATCAGGGACACCGTTACAAGCATGTTCGACAGATGACTTGCCAATCGTATGCTGTAGAACATCTCTCTTCTCTTTTGTTCAGCTCCTTGCTCTGTCTTATGAGCCTACTCTTCCCTATGATCCCTGCTATGTTGCTGTCTGTCTGTCAATGTCATTACTAACTTTTGTAGTAAAGTAAATTTCTTATTCAAATAGTAATCTGTCTCAGTGTTCTCTTTAAAGCCAAAACCCAAAACCTTTTGGAGCTCCCCTGAGCAATATGGCAGTTGTTACGTAGAGATGAGGGAGGGAGAGGTTTAAAGAACAAGAAATCCAGTCCCCAGATGCCCTGGGCCTTCCTGTGGAATCATTAGGCCTTCAAGGCTCCAGCAGCCGAGGCCTGTGATAGGTGCAGCCGGTGAGAATACCTCTAAAATGCCTCTCTGACCCTTACCATACTCTTAATGTCCAGGATGTGACTCTCCCTTATCTGATCTCTTTATCAAAAATGAAGACCCCTTTTTCTTTCTAAACGTTTTTCATCTTTTATTTTCCAAACTTGGGATTTTCTACATCTTTAGAGTCTGTTTCCCTATAAATTGAAAATTCTATCCTCAAATGACTGCTCTCCTGGCATTAAACTGTTAGCCATGAAGAGAAGTCGACCATCTCCCTGAATGAATTGTCTAGCAGCTTCTCCTACCCAATATCTTAGTTCACTGGTCTTGAGTAGCGCCTAAGGCATAATTCAGCCATGCTCTTTGCCACTTCTTAACAAGGGTTGTTGTTCCTCCTGTTTTTAATCATAAAACCTTCATTCCGGCTAAGGCTGCATCAGAATGCTCTTTTCTGGACAGATTTCTATCAGCATTTTGGCTGCAAGCACTGAGGTGATCTCTAGGAATAAAGGGCTTCGTCTGCAGCTCTTCTCTTCTCTCCAGGATCCCCTTCCTGCTCCGCTCATAGCAGCAGAGGCTTTTCCCACCATTCTCATCAGAACTATCCCAGCCTCTACCGGCACCCAGTTCCAGAGCTGCAGTCACACGGTAAGGTATCTGTTAACGTCACAGCCTACTTGTCTCTGCATTACTGCATTGTGTTACTATAGCAAAATGCTACAGCCTGGAGAATTTATTTTAAAAAACATAAATTTATCTTTTACAGTTCAGAAGCTGAGTCTAAGATGAGGGAATAGCAGGCACATTTGACTTAAGGACTGCTTTCTACTTCCAAGAGGGCATCTTGAATACTGGGTCCGTACACGGTAGAAAATATAAGGGCAAATCAAGCCCTTCTGGCTTTGATGACCTAAACACCACCCACAAAGCCCCGGTGCCCAGCTGCCCAGTGCAGCTGCACTGGGGATTAAGTTTGCAACATATGAATTTTAAGGAGACATTTAGATGCCACTAAGTGGGATGGCTGTCAGCACCCTAAGGCCGTGTGGATAATGAGGCCAGGAAAAGAACTAGCAGTATTGCAATTGTTGTGCCATGGTTCTGTTGGTAAGATTGTGGTGATTTAACAGCCCCAATGAAAATAATCCTCCTCATGATAAAAAGAGTACATCTGTTAAAGAGTTTCTTCCTCCACCCTCTCTGGCAGTAAAAAATGACTGAGCATGGATACCCTGCTCCAGCTCAGGGAACTCTCTGTAGATAATCTTTATATTGTGTTCTATCTTTATATTGATTTTCTGAGAGGTACGTAGGATAGTAAAAGAAAATGCTATTGTCAAGAAGAATCTACTGTGTGCAAAGGAATTCTCCCTGCCTTGCTGGATGCTCTGGATAGCCCTGAGAGTTGCATATCTTTCCAGTCATTTTCAGAGAAAAATTAAAACCTAGACCATAAGTATCTTGTTCTGAGACACACATCTCAGAAAGCTGAGATGGTCTTTGACTGTCCTACAATGTCAATAATATTCTTGTAGACAGAGTACATTCCAGAAGGGCAGAGAATCAGAGGACAAAGATACAGACAGTATCTGACAGATCTCATAAGGTAGCCAGGTAGGTTGGCCACAAGCATCTTTACTGATAAAGTTAAAGCAAAGGTTTTAGCATATTGAACACAAGGATCTATCTTTACCGTTCATAGTTCTTCAGTACAGACCCTGTGTTTCACCAGCCAGGGACTTCGTGGGGTTTAATCTTCAAGGCCAGTTTGATCTTCATTGCCAGTTTGATGGGATTTGAACTCATCATGAGAAGAAACCTCTGAACCTGGATGTGTCTATGAGAGATTTTCTAGATTAGGATAATTGCAGTAGATGGCCCACCATGAGTGTAAGGGGTACCACTTCCAGAGGTCCAAGACCGGATAAAAAGGAGAAAGAGGTCTGAGCAGCAACATCCCACACTCTGCTTCCTGTCCCGGGTACTGTGTGACCGGTTGCCTCACGCCCTGCTGTCTGGACCCTACTATAGTGGACTCAAACTCTAGCCAAAATAAACCTATGTTGCTTTTGTTTGGTAATTTTGGCCTGGATTTTGTTGCAGCAACAGGACAAAGTAACCGCTACAGACTTGAAATTCACCTTGTCATCACAAATAAAAACACAGCAATGTGGTTGAGAAGGGGTTCTGGAAAATCTCAGAATCTCTAGAACATGAAACTGTGAAGACAACCCAAGAAGACCCTCAGGAGAAGGGCACGGAAACAACTCCCCAGCTGTGCCCATTCCTCTGCTTCTCTGTCAGCTGGAAGAGTATCAGAAAACGCACACATAGTACCTCACACTGTGAATGTATTCAAGGACCACAACACCCCCTTTCTGCTGACCTTAGCACATGCCGCTCTCCTGAAACACCCACGGGAAGCGCTTGGCTCCAGACTGTCCATGCAGCAGCAGGAGGTGTAGGATCTTGGAGGTCGATTTCTATCATAGCCTCCACATTTTCTGCAGTCACTGGATAGTGGACAAGGGTTGTATTAAAGCACAACTTGAATAGAATATGGATGCTTAAGAGATGAGGAGACTAAAAATCAGCCAATTATTATCTGCACATCTTTAAGTCTCTCCCTAAGCTGCAAATATGCAATAAAACTTTGTCTTTTCTGTGTTCTATGCATTGGCAGCATATGTGAATTTCATTACAATTATGAGATGAATCACTGTGTTGTGAATAAGTTATTTAACTGCAGGGCTTAGAAACGCCTTTAGTAGTAATGGCACTGTCTAGTGTTTATTTAAAAAAGCATATGTTCACAGCTTGAAACATTATCAAAATATGAATAACCGTTGATATCAGTGGATGTGTGTATGCACATGAGAATGCATGTGTACTGCCAACTCTGTATACAATTACATGAAACTTTATTTTTACAAAAACAAGAACATACCCTAAGTGATCTTCACAACTCAAAAGAAAATAGGCTTCCCTATTTTTCAAACATTATAACAAGTTATAAAGTGAAGAGAAAAACTTTTAAAGGCTCCTTTTACTAACAGGGCAATGTGTAAAGTGAAGAAGCATCTCTGGCTTGCTATCTTCATGTCTCCAAAGAAAAACTAAGATAATATCACAGTTTACAGCTCTGGTGAGAACTGGACCAATCCGAGGCTTTCTCAGAGGCCCTGAGGCAAAGACAAAAGGAACCTAGTTCTGTGACCATGTTCAGGCCTTCCTCCCTGAAGAGATTGGAGTTCTCAGTCCCAAGACTGCTGCATGCTCAGCTTGAAATGCTCTTGAGGTACCCTGTGTCCCCCTTGAACACGCTGCTTGATCAGCATCCTGATTATTTTGTCCCATTGTGCAATAGTTTCTGCTGACTTCATCCAATTTCTCCCCTGTAACCAGCACAAGGTGCTGGACTTCTTCATAAACTTGGCATTGCACAAAGTTTGTGACAGACCTCCCAAGCTCAGATGCTACTTTCTCTNCTCTCTCTCTCTCTCTCTCTCTCTCTCTCTCTCTCTCTCTCTCTCTCTTTCTCTCTCTCTCTCTCATGTTCACTGTTTATCGAGAACCTCGAGAACCTGTCCCTGAAGAACAGTATGCTGATCCATGTCACAATTCTTTACCAATACAATACAGAAGGGGATTTTATTATTCTGTAAAGTTTGCAGGAGAACAGAGGGATCTGTAAATTGTTGTGGTCAGCAAGATAGTCTAGGCTCAGGAAGACAAGGGCCACTTGCTCAGAGCTTCTAATGTTTGTGTGTGCCATTATGTGGGGGAGGGTGTGGGTAGAGGGAAGGAAACCAGAGGGATCCATGAGAGGAGAAAAGGACATTTTAAGGAAAAGAGTTGGAGAGGGTGACGGAACATGGCATGCAGATGAGGCAGTGGAAACGGAACTCTGGGACAGAAGGGGACAAACAGATAGACTGAGGAGACAAGAAAGAGGAGGAAGAAGGGTCGGCCAAATCAATCTATGAAAGTTACAAGAAGAAATCTGTTACTTCATATGCTAATTTAAAGTATCATATGCCAAGAGTCTCTGACTTACAATTTACAACTTTTCAATTTATTATTTTTGATACAACTATTGATTTTCCACTTCACTGAAAGTCATTTACATTAAGCAGAAACCAAAGCTCACCTTCTAGAGTTTGATGTTTTCCTAGTGGCATGTCACAAACTCCTGACTCAGGATTAGGCTGGAGCTGTGAACCTCAGGGTCGCAGTTGTGACAGGAGAGCTCCAACACTGCATAACGTCGTCTGTTGCTAAGTTACCATTTGGAAGGCCAAGCATCTCTACTTCCAGGGGGTTGGTTGGGACATAACCCGTCATATGTGGAGGAGCATCTTCACAGGCAGAGGCTAAATTGTTTCCCCTGGAATTAAAATCTCATTAGTGGTTTAGACTGGGATGAGTCCCTCCTACGCTTCTACATTACAGAGTTCCTGACCTATGCCTTCACCTTTCAGCTCGGCTCCTCTTCCAATCACCAGCTGTGACCTTAAAATGAACCTATTTGAATCTCATCTTGCTCATTCTAGCACATGGTCTAAACTCTAACTTTCCATTAGTCTCTGGAACACTGATTCTGCCACACAACTATTCTGTCTCTCCCTAAGTTTTGTAGCTATAGGTGGACTATGCAGATATGGCCTATTACATTTTATTTACACAAGAGAAAAAACTCATCAATGCCAAGAAACTTTCCAAGTGTGACTCTCAAGTAATGCACAGCATTTAGGTAATTTAAGTAGACGACCTCTCAGGATTGGTGCTGCATTTTCCTGTGGGTGTAAGGATGAGTATGTTAGCCTGCCGCTAAAAACGATGCTGATTTCATCAAGTGGCCACTGTAGGTCCTGCTCTGAGATCCATGACTTCACTAGCCCTGGACAGTTGGTTAGGTTTCCCGTGCCAGGCATGATTTCCCTCTTGTTGCCTGGGCTTTAATTCTAGTTAGAAAGCTGTTAGTAACCACCAAGACACTGGTGTGTCACTGTAGACAGATGCCCCATGTGAACATGTACAAAATCCAGCAAGCCTCCTTTCCCTGGCAATTGTTTGAAAAATGAAACTAATTACATCACTAAGTCTTAGATTATCCTTAATCGGCATACGAACCAAGTCCCAGTCGAGAGTGACATAATTGTTTCCTCTCTTTCTGCTCCTTTCTGTGGCAACTTGCACAGCATGACTTTGTGGATCTTTGGGCTTTTATTTTGATTTCTGAGACAGGGTCCACTATGTAGCCTACACTTGCTTGAACTCATGTTCCTCATGCCTCAGTCTCCCCTGCTCGGGATTACACGTATGTGCTAGCATATCAGATGCCTTTCTTGTCCCTGTGACCAAATATCTGACAAAGCAACCTAAGGAGGGAAGATTTACTTTGGATCTGGTCTGACAGTATGTAGTACATGGTGGAAAGAAAAACAGTGTGGACCTCACGTCTGTGAGAGTATGTGTGACACGGCTCACACGCGTGTGGACTTCACGTCTGTGAGAGTATGTGGCTGACACGGCTCACACGCGTGTGGACTTCACGTCTGTGAGAGTATGTGGCTGACACGGCTCACACGCGTGTGGACTTCACGTCTGTGAGAGTATGTGGCTGACACGGCTCACACGTGTGTGGACTTCATGTCTGTGAATGTGGCTGGCACTGCTCACACCGTGATGCCCAGGAAGTATCTGGCTTTCTTGCTTTTCCTATGTGTTCCTTCTAACACCCTAGCCCATATGATCGTAGGCCTTCATTCAGGGTAAATTCGCCCTTTCAGCTATATGTCTGTGGAAATACCCTCACAAGGTACCAGAAAGAAGTCTCTGTGTTGATTTTAACTTATGACGAAGATTAATAATCACTTGTTCACCCTATGTCCACTTAACACCAAAACATGTTATTTTTAAACAATGGCATTTCAATTCTAGCCTCTAAAGTTAATCGCACATCAAAGTGTTTCTAGTTCATCTGACATTTTGCCCGCTCTTGAGACTCTTTCCCTCCTATTGGGTTGTTTTGGTCAGTCTCAATATTCGCCTCCTCTTGGATCACATTTTGTCTCGTTTGGCCGACGTCTCTTGGGGACCTGCTCTTTTTCAAAGAGGAAATGGAAGGGGAGTTGATGTGTGGGAGAAGGGAGGTCAGAGGAGCTAGGAGGAACGGAGGAAAGAAGAACTGTGGTTGGGGTATATTGTTTAAGTGATTATACTTTCAATTTTTAAAGAAGTTCATAATCTAACAGATACCATTTTGGAAGCCATTAAGTCTATAGCAGGCACTTGAAACCCTGAGACTAGTCAGAATCCCCACCACAGGGAAAGTAACCATAGATTTGAGGCACGGAAAACGTAAACTCTGGGGCACTTCAGCTCTTAGGGATGAGCTAAAGAAATGGAGAGGCCAAACAGAAGAGTAAGTTCAGAAACTAAACTGAGACTCAAGCAGAGAGCAATGCAGGAGGAAAGGCAGAGTCTGTGCTAAAGATAAAAGCAGGTAGTAGAAAATGGAGCACTTCCTGTGGATTGCAGCTCTGGCCTCTGAAACATAAGACAAAGCCATCAACTAAGGTAGGAATGAGTGAGCAGTGCCTGAGGATGAGGAGAGGGGAAGTGGTGTGAAGTGTCCAGGAGTGAGCAGAGCCTGGGGCTGGGGATGAGAAGAGGGCTGTGAAGTCATCAGGAGTGAGCAGTTCCTGTGTCTGGAGGAGAGGGAAAGTGGTGTGAAGTGATCAGGAATGAGCAGTGCCCGGGGCTTCAGAAGAGAGCAAGGTATGGAGTGATCGGGAGTGAAAATGATACTGAAAACGGGAATTAGGATTTTCTCAGTGTTGGCAGCTATGGAGGCATGGGGTCACAGACACTGAGAACATGTGATTGTTGAGGGGGATAACGTGTGGCTAGCATCTCCTCTAGGGCTCAAGAAACACCATGGAAGAGGCAGAAAACGTCTAAGAGACAAAGAGCTGGGGAATGTCACTACACTCACAAACACACAACAGTTAGCTATGGTTTCCTTGCACTGAGCCTGCACAGGTCCAACCCTGTCTACAATCAGTCAGCTCATGAGCTCCACCCTTGCTGAACTATTGGCTTCTAATAGATTTTGGGAGAGAGGGAATGTCGTGGCATATCTGTGCACTGTGAAGACTTATTGCTGTGATTGGTTTAATAAAAAGTTGAAAAGCCAATACCTAGGCAGGAGAGATAAGGTGGAGCTTCCAGGCAGTGAGAGAATGGAGGAAAGAAAGCAGAGTTGCCAGTCAGACACTGAGGAAGCAGAATGGACAGAGCAAAGTAGACTGAGCCACATAAAAGAACATAGATTAAAAGCTATGGGATAGTTTAAGATAAAAGAACTTGTTAGGAACAAGCCTAAGTTAAGGCCGAGCTTTCATAATTAATAATAAGTCTCTATGTTGTTGTTTTTGTGTGTGTGTGAGTTGGCAGCCCAAAGAAAAGCCATGTACAGGGCAACTGCTGTCTCAGAAAGAGGGAGGCGTTGTCTTCAGTCGTATACCTACTGGTTAGCTTATGAGGCTCCAATTGCTAGTTCTAAACACATGGTCATGAAAACACCTCTGTTTAGACTAAGTGATCACAAGACAACATAAAAGGACATGAAGGTGAGAGTGAGATTTGTAAAGAGGGAATGGTGGGACATAAGGAGGAAAGGAAGGGACATAAAGAATGGCGTGGGTTGAAAATAAACAGAATGTGTTACATGTGCATATGAAATTCCCAAATAAAAAATTAGTTAATAAACAGTTATATTGGGTTGTTAATTTCCAATTCCGTCTTTTTCATTTCTAAAATGCTTGTTCTGTACCCCCTTTAATTGTGCTCTTGCTGTTGATTTCATCTTTGGATTCTATTAGCTCATCTATTTGGAATATTGTAATTTTCTTCTTTACTTTATTGTTTATGATAATGATACTTCCATTTCAGCTTTCTTATTTTATTTTCAGTGTATGGATTTATGTCTGTGCACCACCTGTGTGCCTGGCACCTCAAAAACCAAAAAAGGGCATCAGATCCTTTTTAATTGAAGTTACATGTGATTGTGAGCTGCCATGTGGTTGCTGGGATTCAAACCCAGGTCCTCTGAAAGAGCAGCAAGTACTCCTAACCAAAGCCCATCTCCCCATCTTTGCTTATGATACTCTTTATGTCTACTCACTTGATCTGGCTTGTACTTTCACACATGCCCATCGACCTTGGGTTGAAATCTGTTCTCTTGAAGAGTGAGGGCATATGCCAAAGGACTCTGCATCCTTCTACCATATACAAAGACATTTGCTCATCCATGTTCATTGCTACTCTGTTTGTAATAACCAGAAACTAGAAACAACCTACATGTCCATCAACAGATGAACAGATAAGGAAAATGTGGCACATTTATGTAATGGAATATTATTCATCTGTCAGGAAAAATGAAATTTGCAGAAAAATGGATGGAACTAGAAAAAAATATCATCATGAGTGAGGCAACCCCGACCCTTAAAGACAAATACAATATATATTCTCTTATACGCGAATGTCAGCTTTCAAGTCTTCTACAGACTTCTACAATCTAGACAACCACAGATATTAAGTGTAGAGTAAAGGACTAGTAGGGAGGGGAGTATCTCCCAAGGAAGGGAAATGGAATAGTTATGGAGAGATAAGGGACTGACTGGAAGAAGAGGATTAAACATGGAGCTGGCGTGAAGAGGAGAGTCTCACTGGGTATATAAACCATAATTAAGTGTAAGTCCCATGCCAAGTGAGCACAAAACAAACTCAATAGTATTTTTGTTCATTTTTTTTGTCTTGCATTGTTTTATCTGGGTATTTTTTTAAATCCTACAGGTGTTTTGCTTATATAATATGGTTTCTGATGTTGTGTTTTTAAGATGTGTGTGTGTTTCTTGTGTTATTTCACTGGTTTATTTTTCTTGCCTGTTTGTTTTCTAAAGAGATGGAGTAGAAGACATGGAATTGTATGGATGGAGATGAGGAGAATCTAAGAGGAGATGTGTGAGGGATCAGAGTGTATAACATACTTGCCTTCATTTAAAAAGAAACAAACAAAGAAAATCTTTCAATAAAGGCAGAAACATGGGAAAGGGACTATAGGGAGGTGGATGGGAGAGAGGATAGAAGGGAGATAAACGAAGATGGCCTTGAGAATAAACATCATGTGCTATATTCATATATGAAAATTGTCAAGGAACAAAACTAATAAAAAGAAAATCTGTTGGCTCTGCAAAAAAAAAAAAAAAAAAAGTGAGGCTCCGGAAGAAACCCTGAGCAGAAATTCTGTGAATAGATGGGACTTTTTTTTTTTTTTGACTTATTCACTAATGTTAGATTTGGGGTGCTAGATTACTGGAC